TGTTAAACTCTTTTTTTTTTTTTTTTGGAAAATCCAAAAACTCAGGAGGGCGTCAAAACATTTTTGCGAAATTGAGGAATTTAAAAAAATAGTCGTTTCCACCCATTTGTTTCTAATGCGATACTTCAAAATGCGTATAAAAAACTTTGGAAACAAATTTCTGCACCTGTCCACAGGTGTTTTGGCCCAATTTGATAAATCTTTTGAACCACTATTCAAAAATAATGTCTAAATTCATTGTTTTTTTTAGTAAACCTTTATTTCTCACTACTTTTGTCATTTTCAGGTTATTTCAGTGACCACTGTGGGCTTTCCGGTCATCAACAACTATTCTGTCCACATGTGTAGATCCATCTACAGCAGGTAAGATATTTTTGTTTATTACCTGTCCACAGAACCGTTTATATCTAAAATAACATATTAAAAGTTAGATTATATTTCTATTAGGGTCAATGAGAATGAGTCTTTAAAATGTCACCTGGGATTGTTGGAATAATTTGTTCTCTAAAGGTCACCGAGAGGAAAAAGGTGAAAAACAAAAGTTGACCTTTTCCTGCAGAAAAAAACGTGATTCTTCAGCTCTGATTAAACAAAATCAGTTTCACCTGCTACATTTAGCATCTATAAATAGATTTATTTGTGCTTTTATAAGTACATAAAATGTTTCATATAAACTTAACAATCTGTTTAGTTAAAAAAAACAGGTTAATTTTGTATTTTAAAGGGACAGTTGGTGGTTCTGGTTCTGCTTCGCCATCATAAATTCTTCTATAAATATCCAATCTGGTGCCGTCTGTCACAGAAGCTCCCCTTCAGTAGCTGCCACAGTTTGTTACGAACCACTGCCATCAGAGCTGAAAACTCACAACCTGTCAGCRCCTCGGCGCCCCTGCTTCCTGGTGCTCGCTGGTACCAGCTCCCTGCCCCCCGGGGCTGGGGGGCCTAATTGGTGGCAGCCGCTCGGCCCGCCGCCTGATTAAAATCTTTTTTTACACGCATGTTGGCGGGCGACACGCACCCCCTCAGCGTGATGATGTCGGGGGTTTCTGACCGGCGTGAAGCTAAAATATTASCCAAATAAATATTTATGAGTAAAAGAAGAGATAATTGGATTTTTTAAAATGTTGTGAATAACAGGAATTCACACACTGGAAAGGAAAAGAGGCGGTAATGTTCCATCATAGCTGTGCAGAGGTGTTAATAACAATGTAGAAAATAAATAAATAAATAAATAAAAGACGGGGACTCCTGACGGAGGCGTGATGAGCGACAGACTGAGGGGGGGTTTATATGTGACCCGTCACATCGAGACAAGGATCAAGTCCAAAACTGGAATGTGGAAAAATAGGCAGATACACKGTTTTAAATTAAACGTGCAAAGAACTGCATTTTGTCAAAATATAATAAATTAATGCCTTATTAATGTATCATTTGAATGAACTGTCTGAAATATAATCCTAAAAAAATTTTTTGAAGCATTTTTTTGAGTAGTAGCAAMAATACGGAGCCCGGGAGGGGACATGGGAGATTTTTTTTCTTTTGCGTTCCCTCGCAAAAGTCGTTTATCACSGTTGTGCCTGCCGGTTTATTAAACTCACATGTTCAYCATTAGCGAGTTAGYCTACGGCTTTAAATCAGCTTTAGAATGAATATATCACACAGCCACACATGGAAGTATGTCATGATATTTTAACACAGTGCAGCCACRCAACATCAGTGTCARTTTCACGAACTTGTGGCGAGACATCCTGTTTTGGTAACCGGATATTTCAAAATAAAAGTCTGATTTATTTCAGTTCATATACAAAACAATCTTTTGCNAGAAAACCTAATCTGACTCATACCTGCAGGTAAAAAATATCAACTCCCTGCAGCTCAGAGGTGTCAGAACAATCAGCAGAAAGTCATGCCTCTGGTTTCTGCCCACAATAGCTCTCCTTCTCCGGATGACGTAATGCCCCAAAATAAAAAGGTAGAAAATCAGCTCGGCAGGCCCGAGGCACGACAACGTGCACAAATCAATCCTGATGTGCTCATGGAGTTAAACAGAACCCAAACCCAGGTGAGGACACAAGCTATTGTTCTGGTTTTTAGGTGTTTGAGACTCCAAATACACAACAAAATGTATTTAAAGGCTAAAAACATGGATTTTGCTTTATGTCCTCTTTAACTGGGTGAGAACCGATAACAGACCTGAACTAGCTGTTACGGCTAAAATTTTAGAAAAAGCAGTTTATACTCAATTATTAAACATTTTTTAACAAAAACTCTAATTTTGAAAAGTTTCAATCTGGGTTCCGGAGGCACCACAGTACTAAAACTGCATTATTGAGGGTAGTGAATGATAGCCGATGCTAGCTGTTKTTCAGTCGTGTTTTTTTCTCAGCAGCATTTGATATGGTCGATTGCAGCATTCTAATTACCRTAATCGCCTGAAACGTACTGTGGGTATAAATGGAACTGCTCTAAACTGGTTTAAATCCTATTCAAAGAATAGGTTCCTCTGTGTATCAACTGGTAAAAATTCCTGTAATTTTGTAAACTCACTTTTGGTGTTCCTCAAGGCTCCATTCTTGGCCCACTAATATTTTCTATTTACAATAAATGTTACCTCTTGGTCGAATTATTCACAAATATAATATCTCTTTCCACTTCTGTGCAGATGATACTCAAATTTATTTAGTTACTGGTCCATCTGATTGGTCTTCTGTAAACATACTAGGTTCATGTCTCACTGATATTAAGGTCTGGATGTCTGATAACTTTTTATTGTAAAACAGTAATAAAAGCGAGGTGTTGATTTTTTGGTCCCAAAGCTCATAGAGACCCTATAATTCAAATTCTTAACTCTTCAGGTTTACATTGTGCCCATGAGGCTAGAAACTTTGGGGTGGTTCTAGATTCTGAGCTTCGCAAAACATTTTAATAATAGTACCGGTATTAAAACAGACTTTTGTCAAATTAGGAATATTGCCAAAATATTTATTTTGTCACTTATTTTATTTTTATTTGTGTTTTTGATTTTATATGATATAAAGCACTTTGTAACTTTATTTTGAAAGGTACTATACAAATAAATGTATTATTATTATTATTATTATTATTATTATTATTATTATTATTATTGTTTGTTGTGAAGCTTCGTAAACGTCCAGAGTTTGTGTTGCAGATTCACTCTTGATAAGTTTATTAGCAGCTTCATACACAAACTGTTAAAATAAATGTTCAGTTTCTCCAGGTGCTGCTCATGACGATACCTGTCTGTCCTCGATAAAGAGGAAAACATAAGAAATGAGATTTCAAACACTCATCAATTTGCATAAACGAATTAAAAGACATACACTTAACGGTGCGCCGCGTTATTATCAGACCGGAGTAAACAAAGGAGACTAAATGAGCTTTAAGCAGAGCGAGTCATTTAGGAGTCCAATATTCAAGCTCATGTTTGGCCCTGCTAGGATTATTTAAGCAATAACCAGTGAGAGGCAGCAGGGTAATTTCTCAGGGATCCCACGGGTGCTGTTCTGCCCGATGCTTTACACCAGGAGGACAATTCAAACAATATATTGCAGAGGGGTTACACTCAAGCTTCTAATTGGTTTTACAAACAACAAAGTTGCTCCACTCATGGTAAATGAGAAATTAAGCAGCCGATAATTAAGTAGCGTCTTCGCTTTGCTTTTAGCGACGTCTCKTTAGGAAGCCTCCAGATGTGTCCAAAACTTTTATACGCAGTTTTGGGACCACCAATTTACTTTATTATACCAATATATAT